AGCACCCAGTATTTTTTTTCTTATGAAAAGGGTGATTAAAATGCGATGATTACATGCTCTTCAACACAAATGGAATGAAACAAAAGGCAACTGATAGGATTAAAATTTGAAACAGAAAAAAAGAGTGCTTTCATTTGTGTTGTTTTTATCTTGAATTTTAAAGGCTTGCAATCCATCATTGAGGTTATCCGATTCTCCTTCTGGTGCTGTGTTCTTGTTGACAATCACTGATCAAAGTCGGGAGGGATATGGGACTACAACTGTATGAACAGAATAAGTTTTCTTTTAACAGCATGGATGGAATAAGTTGGCTTCATACAGAATTTGATGTTGAGAAATACATTTTACAGTTTATTGGTAAATGAATACCGACTGCCCCATTTTTTTCCAGTACAGAAGCAAAATTTATTGGTAAAATCTGGCCTTTACTGATGTAAAAAAAACCTCTGATAATCATAATGTAGAGATTGATTTTCACCCACAATAATGGTTAGTTAAATTTTGCTGCTAGTCACAAGTCAACTTTTGCAAAAGAAAACACTTTCTGAAAAAAAAAATAAGTATAGTCCTACATGTACATGTACTTCAATTGGCTTAGATTTGGATAGCATGAGAAAATCATTGTCTTGCTGATCAACCAAAATGATGTGGCTATTGCAGGGAAATAAAAACAACTTTAAACCACTGACATTGTTGCAGTAACTTATTGTTGTAAAAATGTGTTACTTTTTACTTAATCTAATTTTAAAGACCTCCAATCTTTTTCTCCAACCATGCATGACTGAATTATTTTTTTTATTGTGCATTAAAATGCCATTTGCTTTTAGAAATAAAACTCCTCATATTTGGTACTTAAGATTTAACAACTAAACCTGGATACCAACGATTATTATGTTGACAATTTTCTTGACACCCCCCCCAACATAATCAAGGTAACCTGGTTTGACTAATACAGCACCAGACCATGATCTTTGTAAAATTCCAATTAAAGATCATTCAGCAAAAGTTACACATGTAGACTAGTTAAAGAAGCGAGCACTGAATATAAATCATTTTTCAGTTTTTTTTTTTGGTTTGTTTTCTGGTTTTGTGACAAAAATTTCAACTAACGTTTTCATACATGCTGTAATTTTGGCATGTTACATATAGATTACAATTTTTTATGTCCAAATTAAACTTTTTGCCACTTAGAGCAGCAATAATTACATGAATACCTCTCTGGGGTTGGCATTGATGTATTCTAGGTTTAAGCCCTGATGTAAAGAAATTATATCCCATCAGCCAAGACTGGTTTAAGTCCTGATGTAAAGGAATTATATCCAATCAGCCAAGACTGATTTAAGTCCTGATGTTAAGGAATTATACACCATCAGCCAAGACTTATTTCTGCAGAATATCATTATCTGTAAATGTATACCAATTTGATTTCGTTTATGGTTTTGAATTTTTGAGATTGTTGATGAGGTGTTTTTTGGCCATAAACTTTACACGAGATTAATTATAAGGATATAATATCACCAATTGGTGGATTGGTGACTCTTTCAGGGGGATTATCACCCATGCTGTACCTTTAATCATTAGATTTAATGCAAATTTCTTGTGCTCCATTAGTTCTTAATGATTGTAATTACCAGGATTTTTATGTAAAATTGTTTTTGGTACTGTGGCCCAGTTTTGCTGGTTACAAGCCTTTTGTATCCAAAATTTTTTTCTTTTAAATGTCTTCCATAGCAAATTGTGGCAATCAAGGTCCATTGCAATGCACATATTGTTAATAGATCAAGATGTTTGTGACAGAAACTTGTCCAACATAGCTGATCAAAACTTTGGTCAAATTAAACTTTGTTGGGTCTATTTTATAAATCTTTCAACATATTGCATTATCTTTTATAAATTGCATTGTATTGCTCCACTAATACAGATTTAACTGACTCTAAGTGGACTTTTGAGCATTATTTAGTATAAAACTCTTATTAGCATTGAAAAGTTATCTCCCATCCCTGTTTGCACTTTATTTTCTTTGGACTTTAGTTGCTGTCCAATAGGTTAAGCAATAGACATTTAATTAAAGGTCTGGGGGATTGATACTGCCAAAGTCAGTATTTTTGGCATGTCTTTAATTTAAGCACTCAGTAGTTACCAGTTTTCAGCATGATAATGGAAATTATATGCTAGAAATATTTTGCCATAATAAAGGATAAAGGAATGACAATAAAATTCTTTGTTAGTATTTTGAATACTTTGATTATCTCATATATAAGTGAATGGAAGGAGAAGATCTTTTTACACAATGTGCATTCTATATCAAATTATGAAACATTCATTCATTCATTCATTCATTCATTCATTCATTCATTCATTCATTTATTCATTCATTTGTTTGTTCATTCATTCATTTGGCTGGCTGGCAGGTATAGTTTATGATCTTTAATTTTCCTCTGGAAATTTTGGTGGCTGTAATGATGACTGGATATTTATAGAGGAGTTAGTCTGTTATGGTCTCAAATTACAAGGTCAACATACACTGACATTTCCTATTCAGCTTGTTCTAGTAAATTAAAACCAGTTATTTTGCATCATGGTTTATGACAAGGGCAGAAATTGATCATCTTGTCTTATCAGAGAACACTGATGCTCTAAACAAATAGGTTGATTAATAATTGATGAATTTTAGTTAAATACATTGATTGCAGTACTACCATGTCTGCCATCACTTTATTCAGAAAAATAAACATGTATTAATTGATACAGAATATGTGATTCATATTCTTACCTGCATATTAGGGAATGTTGTAAATCATTGCCATCTCATCTCTATGTGGGTTAGGCCAAAGTGGATATGTGAGAAAGCTTGCCAGTAGCTACTTGTGGGTTGGTGGTTCTTTGGGGGGGTGGGGTCCCAGGTTCTTCCTCCACCATTATTACTGGCCACCCATGTGTAGCCTATCTTGGGCTAAAAAATGGTGTAAAATCCTTGCAACAACAACAACCTGCATATTATGTGCACCTGTTGGCTGAGTGGTCTAAAGCATCTACTATTTTTTCCTAGTTAATACAATCTCACCTCTGTTCAGGTGGGTTTGAGTCCCTATGTGGGTATATTAGAAAGCTTGCCAATAGCTTCTGGTGGGTAGGTGGTTTCTGGAAGGGATTTTACAGGTTCTTCCTCCACCAGTTATACTGGCTGCCATATAAAGTCTATCATGTTCTGGAATATGTTGTTAAACCCACAACAACAATAGTAACAACAATAACAACAACAGCCTGCATATTATATTCTGCTAAATTACAGTTGAAACATGTTATTTATTTTTTGTATGCTCAGAATTTTTGCTCATGATTGTAGATTGTACTTTACATTATGATCATTTGCAAACAACATATTTTACAGCTTTTAATATTCTGGAATGAATATTATTGATAGTTTGATGGAATTTTTCACTAGAAATGACCCAGTTTAGGGAATTCCACGGCATTGTACCAAGTTATAGGTCAGGTAACAGTTTATAGAGGCTTTGTAAGCAAAATCTTATTCCTGTTAGATGTCAGTTTTTGGGAATCTGTCACGAAACAGATTCATGGACTAAAATAATCTAGTGGAGAAGAAGTACAGGCCTAAGCATATAGGGAACATGGAGTTGAAACCAGGACCAATGCTAGAACATGCATAGGGAAGGGAGTAAACTTAACCAAAGCTAATGGGATAAACAAGCACTAGAAATGAAACCCTGCAAAATTATAATTAAAAAAACCCACACACCACCTATGGATGGACAGGGAAACAAGCACGAAACAGAGATGCATTTGGGAAATCAGGGTATCACTAAGTTCAAACCAGCCATATATGCTGGGATGAGACTAAAAGGTTTTGTTATTGTTGTTGTTATGGGGCTTAACTCCATTTTTCATCACATGATAGGCTATACATGGTGGGCAGTATTAATGGTGGAGGAAGAAACTGAGAAGTCCGTGGAAAGAATAACCGCCACACTAGAAGCTACAGGCATTTAAGCTTTCTCACATATTTGCTGAATCTTAGACTCAAACCCATGCAGAGATGAGATGGCAGTGATCTATAAGCGGAGAGTGATTTAGATCAGGAAGCCACACGGGCCCCGACTAAGGATATTCAAGACTATACACATCAGCACATTCAAGGCTATTTGAATTAATTTGGAATGCTTGTATCCTTTTGGACTTGTTATTTGACAGTTAGGATTATTTGGAATTAATTCACAACACTATATTTATTTGGAATTTTATCTTTGTATTACATGTATATAGAAACAAGTTGTTCAAATTTACTCAGACTTATGGTTTCACTTCTTTCTCTTATATATTTTGAAAACATAGTCCTAACAAACCATTATTTATTTTTGTTTAGTACACTGCTTTAGAACTGTGAGAATTTCTTTTTAAGTATCCAAAAAAGGTGTGCCTGTTTGTCTTGTTCTGCATTTTAATGAATACATGTTTTTTATGACATGACTTAAAATCAGAGATGAGAAATTAAACAAAAATTTTTTCTGATATAAATTTTGAATGGCATAGATATATAAAAGAAATAACAAAATCCCTACATAGTCTTCACATTTTGACGATCTATCTAGTATCAGTGCATATACTGTTTGAAACAAAGAACTGAAATAAATAATTGACAGGAATATATGATACTGAGTTTCAGGAATGCATTTTAAGCTCACATTTATTGCAAAACTTATGAATTATGAATTAACAGGTTTGTTCCAGATCCACTGAATTGAACTGTTTATGAATCTTATTGTCACATAGTTGGTACACTTTACATACATTGTTTTCAGATTTTTATTTTTGATGTGACATCATGTGAACAGATCCCTTTCTGTAAATCTGATTGGTCCAAACAATCCCATAAAATCTTCGTGTAATATTCTCATTATTAACTGGCCTTGACCATATGAATTGTTTTTGTCCTGCCTTCTAAAACCATCTTGTTTTACTATTTGTATTAGACTGCTCCAGTGGCCTAGTGGTTAGAGCATTTACCTCAAATGTGGGAGGTCATGGGTTCAATCCCTGGTAGTCATACCAAGACTTACAAAAATGGTACTAACAGCTGCCTGGCATGACTGAACATATCAAACATATCAGTAATAAAGTCAGTTTAAGTTTATGGCTTCTCAGTAGGATAAGACAATTTCTCCTGGATAAGCACAGAAAACTATTTTATAACAGTTACATACAACCCTATTTAGACTACTGTAATAAAGTATGGGGTAATTCAAATGAGAAAAATTTAGCAAAGCTGGCACATCTCCAAAAAATAACTTTTGAGTTAATATCAATCTAGAAAGAAAGCAAGGAAAATTTAGCTTGTAAGTTAAAAATACTACCTATTAAAGCCCAATCTGTTTAAGAAAGGCCAAATTAATGTACAGGATAGCCAATAATAGTGCTCCTGAATATTTACAATCACTATTCAGGATAGGCTACCTGGAAATACTCCCCACCTGCTATCAATGTCTACCAAACATTACAAAATTCCCAAACCAAATAAGGAATTATTTCAAAAAAAGTTTCCAATACACTGGAACTTTGCTTTGGAATAGTATTCCAGTTGAGATTAGAAATGCCCACTCTATTTCATTTTTCCAAACCCAGTATATACATTGGCTTCAGAGATGCAGCAAAAATAAGTAAATTCCTTTGAATGAGGGCCTCAAGGTAGATTAGTTCTTAGTTAATTGAGTTACCCTCTTTAAATGAAGTAATAATAATAATAATAATAATAATAATAATAATAATAATAATAATAATAATAATAATAGTAATAATAATAACAAATCAATCACAAAATATCAGAAGGATCATGGATATAAATTTGTACTGCATAACACCTTTAGATTTAGTACTATTCATGCATCCAGCAATCATCCCTATAAATATTCAACAACTGGAATGCCATTTCTTCTGCCATGTCATACCACATTTGGTGAATGACCATGATGGAATCAACACTTTTAGTGGAAACATAAACATGTATATATTGCCTGAATAATGGCAACTCCAGCTGACTTGATGGAGTAAATTATGTGACATCACATAGGAATTTCCATTAAAGATCCAGTGTTGAGAAATGATGTCTGTATCAAGTGTTTTATTGATTGGAAGGCCATTTGCTCTTTGAAACATAATTCGTAAAAACAGATGTACTTGTGAATGTTGTTGGATTGAATTGGGCAGTATTGCTTTATCTTGCATCTGGGACTACTTTTCATTTGCAAGAATTTAAATGTGCAACATCTGAATCAAAATTGAATGAAATGCTGAAATCTTTTTTTCTTTCTATTAGTATTCTTTTCTCGAAATAAAAAACTGTTAAACAGAATTTCAGATGGATAATGTTTTAAAATGAAGTTTATAAAACTTCTAGAATAATCTCCAGGTTTTGGTTGCCAAGGTTTGTAAAAGCTTGATCTTGTTGTTGTTATAGGGTTTTACACCATTTTTCAGCACAAGATAGGCTATACATGGGCGGTCAGTATTAATGGTGGAGGAAGAACCTGGGAAAACTCAAGAAAGATCCACCTACCCAGAACCTACTGGCAAGCTTTCTCACATACCCATATTGGTAATCACATACCCATATTGGTAATCGTAACAATGATTGTTTTTGACCACTTGGCCACTTAGCATGAAATTATTCAATCATTTCATAAATTCAGTATCAAGTCATTACCAATTTGAGATCCATTTTTTATGTTATGAATTTTATTCAAACTGTTGATGTTGAAGTATTTGTTGTTTAAATTGTAATACATATATGAACAATGTTGTTTGATTGACTTTGGGATACATACAGCATATGGTATTTGCTCTTCACATTGTCTTGGTTCAGATCACATCAGATTCATTTCATAATCAATTTCATGACTAAATTTATCCAGATATTGGGATTGTAACCTGCAGATATCAGTATTTCAGCAAGATGATTGCAGCTGATCTTCCTGAAGTTACTTTCCACACCCAATTCTGTAAATTTTTAGAGATTGTTACATTAGAGTCATATTCCTAAGTCCATCTCCCCTCCTACACTGGATTTTATTGTTGCTACAGTTACGGCGACCATCTTGCTGCCCTGTGGTATTATGATAGCAAGATATTGGGACTCCTATTCGTGTAAAGCTACAGGATTGGGTTAGTTTGGTGTTTTGGGGTAATGTTATATAGTGTTGAGGAAGTTGGTGTGAAGTGCATTGGGATTCAACACTCATGCAGACTTAGACTGATGAAACTACAGGAATTGAACTTGCAACTATTTGGTGGTAATCTGACAGGTCGTCTACCTAGGAAGCATTTTACAAGTTTGCAGTCCCCTTCCCAAGAAAATCACAGTTTTAACTGAAATTTGAAAACAAAATATATTTCACATGCAGAGTTTGGTCAGATGGGTAATGACTGATTAGTCATATACATTTATACTTGTAGATGTATGTATAATAGGGTGATGTCACTACAAAATATATTTTTAGACTGACTGATTAGTTACTGTTGCATAACTAAAGCTGGTTTTGTCGGCTGTGTTTGGAAAAGAAATATTCAGATTCCTTTCTTAAATTTATAATTAGATTGCTAAGCACAGAAGCAAGAAAACTCAGATATTAAAACAGAAACTAAAAAAATTAAGATCCTGTTTATCTCTCTCCATTTCAGTGTCAAAAGATGTAGATATGCTCAGTTGGTTGTTAGAGGATAATTAGGTGCATCCAAGCATGCACTTACTCATGCCTAGTGCATGCACATGCACATACAGTTATAGGTGAAGAGGATCACAGTATTGTCAGTATTATTAATCTTGGGAAGTCACTGAACATGGGATAATGTTATATACAATTGATGGATTTTGCTTGCAATACTTTTAATGAAACATTATAAAGGTGTGGCAATTCATTTGGTGACATTTGACCTGTGGCTACCAATAATTCTAGTCATTATAGAAAGTTGTATTACTGCTTTCTTTTGAGTTTACTTTCATTCTCATATATTTCCTAAACCCCATGATAGATTTTCTTCTTGCTTGGAATGGATCATAACAAAGTTAAGATATTTCATTCTGACATGCATGTTTGCCCTTTCCCTTGACCTAAGAAAAGGTCAGTCATAGAATTTTTTTTATCAATTTAACCACTTTATGGATTTTGTGTATTACAATTGGGATAAATTATTATGATGGTGAGACAATTTATTTGGTGATATGTACACTTGCCCATTTTACTATGTGCTCAAAGATAGTTTCATAGAAAATTTTCAGCGTTCTAAACCCAAATCATTATGAAGCTAAGACAGTTTCAGAGATGTGTGCACTCCAGTTTTGTGGCAACACTTTGATTTGGCATCAACATGAAGGTCAATACCTTGTGTTCAAAGATTTAAAAACAAATGATCATTTCAGGCTTTTCTGTGACTGTTAATATGTGTAGCTTAAATATGACTGTTTAAATACAAGAGAAACCCTTGCTACTTGAGAATTAGCTATATAGTCCACTTATTCAGAGGCTGAGTTTTAGGGATAAATATATGTTCATTACAGGGATATAACTTATTTTCTTTAGAGTTTTTCAAGAGATCTTAAATGTTGCTTAAAAAAAAAACATACAGAGGAATTAAGTGGACCATGTTTCCTGTGACACAGTTGCCCTGAGGAGATTCCAATGTACGTGAAATTGTCATTAGATAAGAATACAGTTGAAATGGAGAACTTAACTGTACAGAGAAACTGCAGCAGGATTTATATTTTTAAAACAGCAGCCTTGAAGGTTTTAATGGCACTGTATTGATTCAATTGTACTGTGTGAAATGCATTGTACTATCGAAGCATGAAAATCATTCTTAGCAGAGATGACAAGCTGTGTCCATGGCTTACTACCTTGTTGTTAGTGGCAGTAGGATTCACTACAGCTAGGAAATTAGAAGTGTTTTCTACAGTTTAGTGCATTATATTCCAGATTTGGATGATGACATTCATTGCCAGGGTTTGTTATCCACTTGTTGCAAGTACTTTTATTAGAGGCATTTTTTCAAAGTACTTTTGTAGGCAACAAAACTACACAGCTTATCATTGTGGTAATGTCATCTAAATGTCTGCATTTTTTATCACCGTTATGGAGGATGATTGCCTGTGATAGCAGCTTTCATGTGTGACTTGTTGGAAGGATTTCAGGTAAATTCACAAACTGGATGGAAATATGGACTGATGAATTTTTTGGATAGTCATTTTAGTTAAAATTGATGCATTAGCTGCAGACATAGAAAATTAATAAAATAGCAACAGTTTTTGTTTTTGCTTTATTTGAAAATGAAAAAACTCACAAGATAAAACATAAATACATAATTAAAAATAGATTGAGAAGGACCACCTGATTTTGAGGCAGTCTAAATGAAAAATAATGGCAAGTTATTATCTTATGTGCAGAGCAGTGTGTATTCCAGAAGAATGAAACATTGGGGCTCTTTACTCTTACTGGGTCTAAAAGGGGAACATTTACAAAAAAAATAGGCAAATAATTTCTGTTCCTGTATTTTGTTTATTAAGCCATTCTGACACATAATGTATCATTGTCATGGACACTCAGGTTTGGATTTATTTATTTCTATTAACATTTCTAACATTATATGTTTCAATTCAGCCATTGTTGACTTGGACTAACACAGGGACTTTTCCAATGGCCTAAGTGGTCAAAGCATTTGCTTCGGATGCGGGAGGTCATGGGTTTAAATCCCGGCCAAGTCATACCAAAGACTTATGCAAATGGGACTAACATCATCATCTTGGTGCTCAGTATTAACAAGTTAGTGTTAGGAGTGTTCAGCTTAGTATCAGGATAATGTGAATGGGTGGAACATCCCGCATCATGTCTGTGGCATGTTACCCCAGTGCTAGACATAACTATAAACTTCCACACTGCAGATATAGTAGCAATATGACTAAAAGTATTAAAGCTTTGTTAAAAATGTAAAACACATACACAGTTGACTCCAATTTTCTTGTCTAGTAAAATAAGCGTGTTGTGTTCAGGTCATGGATATATATCTGTAAAGGTTATTGGATGACAGTGCTATAATCTGACTACAATAATTGGTTATTTATTTCTGTAATAAATATTAAATTTTTTAAAATTATATGCTTCTTCTTAGTCATTGTAGAGTTGGTCTACAGTACTGTTTTCTGCAATTTCCTTTGCTAAAATAACCGTGTCTACTGTTTTTGGTTATGAATATTTCATCTGAGAAGGAAATTGTAGTTAACTACACTATAATTGGATTAAAAACATGACTCATTAAGTTCTGGTAAAGTGAGTATTTATTGCAGATATAAATAAATTCATAACCTCAATTTCTTCGACTGACCTCTGTATAGATGATATTGCACTGTCTGAGATGGGTAAAACCAAAACATTGCTTGAAAACAACTTACAAGATGCTCTTAACAGACTTAAAGTATGGTGCAAGGAAAACAGTATGATCATAAACACAGAAAAAACAAAAGCCCTACTAGTTTCAATGCCAAAAAACTGAGCAAGGCTAGGTAGCGACAAACTCCAGATTCTGTTTGACAGTATGAACCTCTGGATAAAATTATTGATATTTTTGTAGATAACAATCTTACTAGGTCTATTCACATTAAACATGTTTCAAAAAGGTTAATTATTATCTTTGGCTACTGAGGAAAATTAAAACATACATTCTTCTTCCGTATAGGGTCATCCTTTATAAAAGTTATATTCAAGCCATATCTGGACTCTTGTAATGTAATTTGGGATAATATGTATAAATCAAACATAACAACACTTTTTGGGGTAATATGTCTAAATCAAACATAACATTTTTAAGACTCCAAAAGGGGGCTTGACATTTAAGTCTAGATCAATGCATAGACAATTTCCTGGACACAGTGAATAATATAAAGATTTTAATTATACTTGAGAGAATATTTCTTAATGTTGATGTATAAAGTATTCAGAAAAGCCATTCTTGCCTATCAAAGCAATATCTTTCACCAAAGTCAGATATGCTGATGGTACTCCAAATTTAAGGACCATAAGAAGTAAAAATGCATTATACCAAGGCCACAGAAGGAATTGTTTAAAAAAAGCTTTCAATATACTGGTCAACTGGTATGGAACAACATTCCTAGTGACATAAGGCAGGCTCCTAACATTTCTTCTTTTTGTAGTCCGTGTCTCAAATGGATGAAATCTTTAGACAATTGAACAGTTCTAGTTCAGTAAATACTGCCTGCTTTTATGTAATTTTCATCATTTTCACAGTTGAATTTTTGAATGCAGGATATTTTATATTATATATATGTCCAAACCTTGATAATTTGATGTATAAAATCACTCAATTATTTGTGTGACCCAAATGGCCGAGTGGTCTAAAGCTCTCTACCTTACAGAGCACTGCCATCTCACCTTTGTCTTAGACTCTACCTTACAGATCACTGCCATCTCACCTTTGTCTTAGACAAATGTAGATATGTGAGAAAGCTTGCCAGTAGCTTCTCTTGGATTAGTGGTTCTTTCTGTGGATTTCCCAATCCCGGTCATTAATACTGGCTGCCATGTATAGCCTATCATGTGCTGAAAAATGGAAGCCCCACAACAACAACAATAACAATAACAATAACTAATACATTTAGTGACAGGTCAGATTGTTCACATCATGTTGTACATTAACTGTATATATTGTTATTATACATAACATATAGAAGGCCACAAGGTAGATTAGTTCTATAACTGAATGAGTTACCTTCTCAAAATAAAGTCTTTATTATTATTATTATTATTATTATTATTATTATTATTATTATTATTATTATTATTATTATTATTATTATTATTATTATTATTATTATTATTGTATCTGGGATCATTGTCATTCTCACTTGTAATGAGTTTTCCATATAGGGATTTGAGCTACTTGTGTTTGAGTAACCATTCCCCAGTAGAATTTATTCAAAGATTAAAGTCAGCATTTGTTTCTGCCAAAACATTACATTGGAAAGAGCTGCAATAGGGTTTTTGCTGAAATTGGATCTTTTCTTATTTTCCATCAGTGATCATTGATCGCGTACAAAGACAGTTTTTATCTGAGCCACTGTAGTACACTTTGTTCAGAAAATTTTGAATTCATTCATTTCAGTAAAAATCAGCCACAAAAGTCTTCTATCTTCATTGGGGGGGGTCTTTTTATCAGTCCTATTGTGATACAGAAGCTAAAGTATGGTACATTATCAGTTCATATCAACTCAAAGATCTTGTCCTTTTTAGAAGATTTATCAGTGGCAGGATGGTGCCATTTCAGATGTGACGTTTTGGTCATATTTCCAGTATGCAGATTACAGACAAGCCTATACTCATTTTTTTCCTATAGCCTTCTCATCATTGACAAGATAAAAAAAAATACCTCTAAACAGACTACCTGCTGGTCTGTGGTGATTCTATATAACATTCTCCATCACTTAAGTCTTCTCCATTTGATCAAATGCAAGATTTATTATGGTCAATGTGAGATTCATTATGGTCAATGTGAGATTCATTATGGTCAATGTGAGATTCATTATGGTCAATGTGAGATTCATTATGGTCAGCATTCCATTAGTTTTGCTTTGCATGAATGCTTTAAAAATAAGTCTCCTAGCATTACAGTGCTATCTTAAAAGATGGATGAAATTGTGCAATTTACCAATTGCTGATGACTGATAATTGAATCCCTCCTCTTGCTTCCTGCAGATACAAAACAACTGCTTTGATTACACTCATTTTTTTCTCTTAAAGAGAATTATTTACAACATCCCCCCCTCTATGTATTCACAGATCACTGGGATGAATTATCAAGTTAAAAATGAAACTAACTTTGTATGATAAATATAATTTTTTTTATTGATTCTTCACTTCTTATTTCAATGTGTGTATTGATATGGCAAGATTGTCAATGTTTCATCCCTTAATAACTAGTAAACAGTAATTCCCATTCCTGTCAACTCTGGCAAAATAATGTGACAATTCCCATTCCCATCAACTCTGGCAAAGTAATGTGACAATTCCCATTCCCATCAACTCTGGCAAAGTAATGTGACAATTCCCATTCCCATCAACTCTGGCAAAGTAATGTGACAATTCCCATTCCCATCAACTCTGGCAAAGTAATGTGACAATTCCCATTCCCATCAACTCTGGCAAAATAATGTGACAATTCCCATTCTTGTCAACTCTGGCAAAATAATGTGACAATTCCCATTCCCATCAACTCTGGCAAAATAATGTGACAATTCCCATTCCCATCAACTCTGGCAAAATAATGTGACAATTCCCATTCTTGTCAACTGCAAAATAATGTGACAATTCCCATTCCCATCAACTCTGGCAAAATAATGTGATAATTCCCATTCCTGTCAACTTTGGCAAAATAATTCGTAAATGAGTGGTGGTAATCACCAGTAATTTTTTTAATTTATTATTGAATATGATGTAAACTTCTAAACAGAGTAGTCTACATGACATATTCATGATTATTATGCTAAAACTCCAAACTTTTCAAACTACAAGTGTTTACTAAATCTCTCCAAAATTTAAAGCAATTACATAAATACAGTGCTGTTTACAAACTGAGACCAACATGTGAAAGCATGTCAAATTTCTATTTTAAAGCTCAGCTATGTCAGTAAAATGTGCATAATATTTTTAGCTTGCCAATAATTTGTACTTAAATTAATCTGACTTGCCATCTGTACTGAATTATTAGTCCCGTTCAGCTGGAAACAACAAAGACACTGATCGATGTCATATAGTGGAGTCTGTGTTGCTTGTTTTGTTGATTAGTCCTAACAGATTGTATCAACCCAGACTGTCCGAACATTATGTAATGGCAGATCTGGATCTGTGCAATTTGCATTTGGATCAGCCTTATAATCCAGTATATATTGCATTTGACCAAAACCAGTGGATTTTGGTATTAAGGTGATTGTTCTAACTTGCTACAAGCTACAAATAATACATCTGGTACATGGTTTTGGATTTAATTTTAGAAAGGGCACTCCTTCCACTGTTAAATATAGATGGCAAAAAAATATTTTATTACTAAATGTCTTTTTATATTCATTTCCAGATAATGACTTTTAAATCCAACTGCAAACTGCGTAGACTCAGATCTGTTATTGCATAATACAGCTGCAGATCAGATTCTCTGCAATTTGAGGGGAGTTAAAATAAAAAATATGGACCCTGATCTACCATTTCTTTATTGGACGGCATATCAGGGTCTATGTGTGCTGTTTGACCCGACCTTTACAAAAGTGTATATGGCAATGTATATGACAGACAAGAAGTGGTGCTTGAAGGTGATTTATTAATTACACGTTGCAGAACTGTTCATTAATTAATGTTGGCAGCTGTGTTATAAAAGAGGATACAGAATTTGTAATTGTTGAAAAGGAAACTACAAATGTAAGGATATGTTTTGAAGAATCATTGATTTACATGTTAGTATGAGAAAATACTTTTATTTTTACAAAAAAATTTGGTGAAAATTAAGAGCAATTTGAATGAAGAATGATAACTATTGCTTTAAAGTAAAATATCCATAAACAAGACGTCTGCATAAGACAATGATGAGGAAGTAGGTTTTAATATCTTGTTGACACATTAATAGTTCTAAATTCAAGGACAATACATGTTTATCTAAACCAGTTAGTACAGAACCATTTCCATAATTGATCCAGTTCATGTAAGC